CTGGAAAACCTAAGTAAGTAACTTTGGGCACTAGCGGATCCAGGATTTAATTTTGGGGGGGAGGGACGGGGTGGCTTCAGCCCTAATGTTTTTTTTTCAAAAAATTAACGATAGTTACTTTGGAAAACAGAAAGAAACTAACTACCTATATGAAATGGTGTTTAAGTGATTCCTTAAGTCCTTTTAAATCTAATTACACGAACAATAATATTTTAAGAGGTATTTTTTAATTTTTTTTCCCATAAACCATGGTTATATTTTACCATCTTGGGGGGGAGGAAGACTTCAGCCCGATAGCCCTCCTCGTAGATCCGCCCGTGGCTTTGGGGAAATTTGCTGACCTGGTTGGGAAATGCTGAGGGGGGTAAGTAGTAAAAGTAAAAGAAGCCTGGAATATTACAGTATCCAAAATTTGAAGATATGGATGGATACAAGGGAAAATACTACATATATGTACTAATACTAATAAATTATAAATATATACACATACATATAAAATAGAATTAAGAAATTACAGATAGAAGTACAATGTGAATAAAAACCAAAATTGGACATTGCAATGTATGGTCTCTTTTGTTAGCTGTAGACCATTTTTCTAAGATGATAAGAGATTGGTTAGTCACAACTTGTAATTTTGGCAATTGTTTGTTTTTTACTAGAAGAAAGATATCGTCGACATAAGATAAAATGTGTGCTCTGTGAGACAATTTTAAATCGAAAATTGTATTGAGAAGGACGTTCCAGAGTGTAGGAGAAATACAGGAGCCTTGTGGTATACTAGTTGTTAGGTGTTTTTAAATGTGTAGTTATTTGTCCTAATTTATACTCCAAACTCTTCGAAAAAATTGGAAATCAATAAACAGATATTTTTTGGGCAATTGTATTTTCTCAGATTTTCTAGCTAGGTAATATAATTGGTGTCCACCCATTGTCGGAAGCTCCAACAACGTCAAGTTTGAGCATAATACCATTACGTTTTGTTTCCAGGGCACTTTCAACGTGTTTTTCCATTGTACAGTGCACTTATTGTACTTTTTTGTAGTCTAAATCCCAACTGATTAGAATACAATATTCGGCTAAATGTTAAGTAGTGTGCCAGTATATTATTGATTAATTTGTTTGTTTAATTCATTAATGTTGATCAATGACTTTGCTCATGATTGGTAGGATCGCTGTTGATCGTAATTTGTTAGAGTCTCGTTTGGGTATTATGTGCAGTACTTTTTTCCAGGTTGCCGGTATGATTGACTGTTGCCATATAAGTTGGTAAATATATATGTGATTAAGTTAGCATATGATTCTGTCATGTGCTGTAAGATTTCAGTATTGAGTTTGTCGTGTAGTGGTGTTTTATTCTTGTTTAAATCATTTATGATTAATAGAACCTCAGTCTTTTCCAAAGAGCTGTCATTGTCAGTATTTGGGGGTATTTTGAGTCTCCTTCTTAAGTTTATTTGTTCTAGTGCATCGTTTGTTGTTATGTCTTGTTTAACTAGGGTGAAAAGCACATGTTTTACGCCAAGTTTGTAGTGTAGTTATTTCATCATTTAAAATAGTCCTACAGACCTCTTTTTCTTCTTCTTCTTTGTCTTCCTCTTATGCCATTAATTAGCGTCGAGGAGCCTCAACCAGTGCAGCCACTCTTCCCGGTCCCTGCTTAGTCGCTTCATCTCATTAAGGGTTTTGCCTCTTTTACATCCAATCCTTTGAATGTAATCCTGGAACGTGAGTCTGGGGCGTCCGCGTGGTCTCCTTCCTGTGGGTCGAGCCTCTAATATCCTTATAGGATTCAAATTCTCATTCATGCGGCAGACGTGTCCAAACCACTGGAGTTGCCGTCTTTCTAAAGTAGTTTTAAGTTCGGCAACTCCTAGCTGCTCTCTAATGCTTTCATTCCTAATGCGATCCCTTCTAGTTCTGCCAACAGATCTGCGAAGGAACCTCATTTCTGCTGCCGTTATGCGACTAGAGTGCCTGTCTAGCATTGTCCAGCTTTCTCCGCCGTAGGTGAGTGTAGGTAGGTAAACAGACTTATATACGTGCATTTTGGTCTTCTTGTCTACTTCGCGATGGCCGATAATGCTATTAGTAGTCTGGTAATATACCTGATTCGCCTTACATATTCTACTTGATATTTCGGCGTCTATCTTACCAGAACTACTAATTACGGTCCCCAGGTAGGTATATTCAGTCACCACCTCAAGTGTCTCGCCATTGCAGATCAGCTGAACATCTTCTCGCTCTTCCCTCGTCATAAACAGCACTTTACTCTTGGAGGTGTTAATTTGCATCCCTTTCCTGAGCAACTCTTCCTCCCACTCTACCAAAGCTTGTTGTAGTTTGGTCTTTGTGTCGGCTATTAGGACTATGTCATCCGCGTATAGAAGGCTTTGTATGAGGACAGTTCTCAGATTCCACTTCCCAATTGTTGTCCACGCAGTTCGGCGTTTACAGATTTTGTGGATTTCATCCATTACATTTATAAATAGAAGGGGACTTAAGCTATCTCCCTGTCTAACTCCTCTCGCAATTGGAAAAGGTTCCGATTCCATACCGTTCATCCTTACCACTGCCATGGCTCCTTGATAGGCTGACTGTATGGCCGCCAGCAAGTCTCCAGGTACACCCTACAGACCTCTTGACTTTTAATAATGTTAGATGCGTACTTTGGTTAGTCTGCAGGTCTCACAGCCGTATATTAGAACTGGCTTTATCATGTCATTAAACACCCTTAATTTTAGATTTCCTTAGATTATTCGGAGAATGCTTGACAACTTGAGATACTTCTCCTTGTATTAGGACTCTTCATTCGCGCACTCTCACCAGGAGCTCCCAACTCAATAAAGATAAGGTCCTCGCTATCTGTAATAGAAGGATCCTGAAGGGTAGGCTTTGTTAGAGGCCTTTGTTGACAACTTGTTGCGGGTCCGCCCTGTTGTGGACACTGCAGGAGCGATACATCCACTTTCATTTATTTTTCTTCACATCATAACCAAGAAAGAGTGAGGATAATTACCTCTATGGCAAGAAACGAAAGGGAGGATGCAATACCGAACATCTGGACTAACATACTTTTTGCATCAAGAATTTTTTATTGTTTATTTTTATTATTTGTTCGCTTTCGCTTACTTATTACACAATAAATATATACAAAGGGAATTTATAGCGATCGTAAAAAAAATATAATCTTTTTGGTTGAAATAGCAAGTTTCGCTTGTGAAGTTGTCAGAGTGATGGTATGTTCATGTTTAGGTAAAGATAAATAGGTAATTTTGTTTTGATATTTTCATATTTAGGTAAAGACAAATAGTTAATTTTGTTTTGATATGTTCATATTTAGGTAAAGATAAATAAGTAATTTTTACTTTCACATAGGTATATATGTAATATATAGTAAGGATAAGTATTGGGATCGTGAAAAATTTCGAATCTCAGTTTTCAACGGAAATACATGTTTTGAAGTCCCCTGAGTCCAAATAACCAAGTGTCGCAAAATGGTCTGGTTCAAAAAAATTTATAATAGCCCAACATTGCCAGAAAATAATTTCTATTCAAAGTAGAGCGGTAAGTGAAAGTTGTGTGTTGCGCGCACCAGATTTTTTTTTGTTGGTATTTTCATATTCAGGTAAAAATAAATAGATAATTTTGTTTTGGTATTTTCATGTTGATGTATAGATAAGTAGATAAGGTAAGATAAATAAATAGTTTTGTTTTGATATTTTCTTATTTATGTAAAGATAAAAATAAACGAATAATTCTTTGTTGTCTGTGTGACTGCTGATAGAGGGTTGTTACTTGATCTCTCTAAACTTAGGAGTTTTAATAAATTATTTTTTATTTAAAATGTCTCATACCTATGCTTTTAAACTTAGCAGATAACATACACATGCTAAGTTTATCACGCGCGATTAACTTGAATGGTCGCGGTAAACATCCTGCAGTAGAACAATTATAATCTCTCTCTATTACCAAACCCAATTCCGAGTGTACCGTTGTATTCCCAGTAAACTCCCAATCCCAGTACATTCTTGTAGTTCCATATTCCTAGAACATGAGCTTTACTATTTTCTTGTTTTCCGTAATGGAGAAACTTTGAGTTCTCGATCGGTGCTGACTCTATTTTTAATCTTTTAAAGAAATGTTGAAACATTTAGATTAATGGTTAATTTTAGCGATGAGACCTGTTGTGTTTAAGGCAATTTTTACCTTTTAAATGGTGTGTAACTTGCTGTCAGTATCAGTGATTCGCAATTCCGTTGAGGATAGAATTTAATTCTTTGTTCAAACTTTTTATAATTCACTTGCTGAAGTATTAAAACGTATCCGGTACTCAGTTTCCTATTAAACTTTAGTGATTACTGTAATGTGTAAAATAAAATTTATTTATATATAAAGATGAATTGCTTCAACAGGTTTAAGATTAGGGAATATTTGCTAATAAGTCGATAGTAACTCTGCTTACAAAATGAAATAAAAGGTAGTTAAGGTATTTACCTCCAACAGAGGGAGACCCAACCACTCCTACAATCTTCCTCGAAGGTTGAAACGGCATTTATCCCGAAACCTTTTGTGAATGGGATAAGGGAGTTCTGTAAATGGGAACCACTTAGTCCTGAGCGGAATGCGACTCGGATCACTGGGATCTCTTGACATCCTACATTGCCTTCCACACATGGGTTCGAAAGTTAAGGTTCTATTTATTCCAAGTTCCTAGAGTAGTACAGGTACTCTGGGGACATTTATGGTTTGTTGTAATTTGTAATAGTTTCGGTGTTTGATGATGTAGATGCTTTTTAAGGAAAAATAAAGCCCAGAACTAAAACTATAACTAAAACCGCTAACATAACTAAAACTATAACTAAAACCGCTAACATAACTAAAACTATAACTAAAACCGCTAACATAACTAAAACTATAACTAAAACCGCGAACATAACTAAAACTATAACTAAAACCAGTGACAGAAGTGAAACTCAAGCAATGGCAGACAAAGGGCTCACCTGCAGACGCCGCCGTTGAGGCAGGGCCCCCCGCTCGCCCTGCAGACGGGGCCCAGGCTGCAGCTCCCTCCGGAGAACTCGGGGAAGCAGGAGCACCGGAACTCCCTCCAAAACAAGAATCGCTATCAGTTCATCTCCCATCGCTGTGTCTCCATTGAGGGTGTAACAAGAAAATACAACAATATTCAATGTAATAATAAGATACACCACAATTCATTACCTGCCTTATCTTGGGATTACTTACGTCTTTTAAATACAAATTATGAATACGTAACCAAATGTTTCTGATTAACTCAATATCATGTGAAATTTATGTGGAAACAAAAAAAAATCCTTAAAAAAATTGCTTTACGGAAATCCTCTCCGGTTTCATGACTTTACACGTAAATGCTATTCTTAATCATGTCTCCCAGTGATATGAACCTGTCCATGTACTAAGTGGTTTTCTCAACAACCTGGTTGGTTTAGATATAGATTCATAAGAAAATAAACTCTTTTAAATATACTTTAACATCGAAGGAACTAATTCTCAAAATTGCTAAGCTGAAAATTGACCAATTTACTAATTAACCACTGACACATACAGGAAATATCTTTAATATAAGCTAAAATTTCTATTTAATTAGATTTTTTAAACTGTTGAAGTGAAATATTCTGATTTTATTATATTTTCGCTATGAATATAATTTATACGTAGTAAAAATATAATCAAATCATAATTATAAGTATTATACTACCATAATATGATTATCAATATAGTAGTTCTAAAATGGTCAATAAAACATATCGTCGGCATCATGTTATAGTAACGGATGTGAGCCTGTTTAACATTGCATATTCGTTATTTTAACACGGTGCTGATGATATAAAAAAATATATATATAAAAATACGATACTTAAGCTCACTTGAAGTCTGACCCGACGTAGCAGTTGCCGGCAAAGGAGCAGTCGATAACGGAACAGCTGTCGTTCCTCGTCGTTCCGGTGACCATTTCGTAGGTGATGTTGAAGCCGAACACGTCGAGGAGATGGTCAAGGACTCGGAGATGGTTTCCCTCCAGCCTTTCCAGTTCCAGTTCGATGAGGAGGAACCTGGAACGGGTGAGCAACCAACTGGTTGTCACCGAGTTCTGTTCCGTAATGGAGAGAAGAAGTGTGGGATTCTTCTGTAAGTTGGTGTCTTCCAGGTCGTAATAGGCATACTCTGTGAAGGTAAGACCAGAAGTAACGAAGAGCTGTGTGAAGTATACCACGATTTTGACTTCCGCTTCTTGGAACTCAGAGGAATCTATTAGCCACTGGCACCTAATGAATTAAACATATACAGCAAAACACTTTATCTCAAAAACAGCATCAAACTATTAAAAAAATAATTTGACATAGAAGGGGATATCACTTAAAAGAACTGATGTTACCCACTCATAATATTGGGTTGTCCGGAAAATGTAGGTTTTTAGTTTAAAAAAGAAAGATTTACAAATGATTTATTTCATTAAAATAGTTTCCACTCCTATCAATACATTTCTGTCAACGTGTTGGCAAGCTTTCCATTCCATCGGAATAGAATTCCCATCTTTAATTGATAAACTCCAAAAACGCATTTTCTAATTCTCTTTGTACATTTAATTTTTTGTCACGTAAGTAGTGTTCTGGGTGACTAAAAAAAAATGAGCGAGAGCCGGACCTCTAAAGAGACAGTTTCTATCTTTGAAGAATTTTGTAAGTGGGAGTTCCATATCAAGCTCCAACAGTTTTTATGACGACACACGTGAGACACGTGGCCGTCCGGACGCTGTTATGCAATAAAATGGGCCCTTCCGATTGACCAAATATGGCTTTATTATTGCCAATATAATATATTATATTAATTTGGTTACAATACGAATCGGCATTGATGGTTTCTGCAGTATTTAAGAAGCTGTAGTGAACGAAACCAAATGCAGCTCACCGAACAGTAACCATCACTTTTGTTGATGAGTTGGGGGCTTTGGAAAATGTTCTGCTACTTCTTCTTTGTCGAGCCACTGTCCAGAACGTCTACTGTTATCGTTAACTAATTAATTTTCATCACAAGTGACAATTCTGGACAGAAAATAGTCGTTATTGTTTGGGCAAAGAAGTAAAGCACAAACTTCATAACACTGTTTTCTTGGGGAGGGGGAAGGGGGTCCTTTGATGTGTGTGGAACCAAACTTTCAAGTTTTTTTTACCTTTCTAATCGCTTTGAGGTGGTCATCGACGGTCGATTTGCTGAGGTTAAGTTCCCCTTCAAGTTCTCGAAAAGTTGTTCTGGGGTCTCCTTCCATCAAAGCCAGCAGAATATCGTCATCAAGAGAGGAAGTCCTTCCACGACCTTCTTTCTCTTCAAGGCTGAAGTTTCCCTCCCGAAATTTTTCGAACCACCGTTGAACATTGCACTCATTAATGCGGCTCTCGCTCCAGATTTACATTTTCGGACATCTGGACACCATTCCGGCCGACTAAAGTCGTAAAACAAAATTTTACCAAAATCATGTGTTGACATCTTAGTAAAAACTGAATTATTTCTAAGCATCGAAAGGCTACAAAGCTAAACAAACATTATCGTTTGAAAGAGGATTAATAAATCAATAATAGTAATACAAATAAATAATAGTAAACAGTTTGTTATGTAGAGGGGTATTTTAAAGACAAGTCAAAATCATCAAGTCTGCATTATTTTCCGGGCAACCAATACTAATGCTAAGTTCGAGTAACTGCTAAGAACTTAGAGGCTGATACTATCACTGGCGCGGATATATACTATTCTGATCTAATTAACTTTATTTATTACTCAAGTAAAAAATAATTGATCACTAGACACACTGGGCGTCCAACAGTATTATCCATCTTTATTAGTAGCCTCTAAAGCGTCCAGAAGTATTTCTTCTTTCCATATTTAAATTCTGGCTGACCGATAGAGTTGCCAAATGGCGATCATAGCACTGCTATTTCTTTAGATACGAGTAGCGCTGGTCATTGGACATATGCACAAGAGTATAAAGATGCTTACGGTGGATGGAATGGATAAAGGTGATAAAAGATAGGGATAGATAGGAGGAAATCTGGTCGGAATTGTGTTAGAGAAGAAGTGCCCTTCTTATGGTGGAACTGGGGTCAACTTTTGGATTAAGACCGGAGCCCTAACTGAGGAATATGTGAGGGGAAGAATCGTATTGACAAACTTAGCGGGGGTATGAAGGGACCAATTTTCTGTTTGGCACTAGAGACCACGACGCATTACCAACAGCATTGTAGTAGACATCTCCCTGTATTTACTCCTTTATGTGACATTGCGTGAGGGAATGAGAAGGAATATATAATATATAGGAATGTGAGGTTGAACGATGAATTATACTCAATTGTGCAGTGGACAAATTATTCATTGAAAAGTCTCATATCGATAAACAATCTATGAAGAAGGAAGAAGGTTGGAAGAGGGCAGAACAGGTAGCAACAGCTGGAGAAGGACACCGGAGAAGAGGAGAAAAGGCAGTTGAGGCTGGGACATTGAGGAAGGAGATTACCTGAGGAGAGAAGGCAGTTGAGGCTGGGACATTGAGGAAGGAGATTACCTGAGGAGAGAAGGCAGTTGAGGCTGGGACATTGAGGAAGGAGATTACCTGAGGAGAGAAGGCAGTTGAGGCTGGGACGTTAAGGCGGAACGACGTTATCTGAGAAGAGAAGCCTACTAAATTGAAGACTAAGAATATCAAGCCTACAGTTATAAGACTTTAATAGATTCATTTATTATCGTTGTTAAAATAAATTGTTTTGTTAGACAGGAGTGAAAAGTCATTTATTTATTTAGTTGTCCTATAGGCCTCACAATTGAAGAATAACAAACTAGGTGAGTCAATTCATTCAAAGTGTATTTACTAAGTCCCACATTTCATATATATATTCTTATTGTTTCTTGTCACTTAGTGTCACAAAGGTATTATATTCCCAAATTTCGAACGATATTTAAACACCCTCAAAAAGTCTATATCCATTGCCGGGATTTTGTTTTAATATCCACTAGTGTAAATAACATAGTTCCCGTTAAAACGGAAGAAATCTTTTCAGCATCGTAGATAAAAATAAAGATACCCGAGCTGATTTTGCAGCACCCTGCAACTCCTCACGGACCCCCCTCCCTGCCAATTGTACGGAAATCGCACATGAACGTAGTTATTCTATATGAAGTATTTCTTTTCGCAATTATTGTTCATAAGTACTCGATGACGGTGAAACAACTTTTTATTTTAGCATAAACGTATGCTGTTTATGTCCTGTTGTTGCCAGCTGGACGGTTGAAGTTTTATGCTTTTCAAACTGGATCGCACTGCAAAGAGCCATGACCAGCTACGATCCATGGTAATTTCAACTAGTGGGAAATAGAATCCTTAAGTATAACGAGTTGTGGGGGTGAAGTTCTTTCGGCTGAATTAGATTGAGTGTCCAATTAAATGACATGATCCAAACTAACTTTAGTACAGATTCGAAAGATTCCACTACAATAGGAAGGCCATCTGCAAGATGCTGCGATTTAGAAGGTTTCTGATTTTTTTAGCCACAGTGGCCATCAGGCTCTCTTGACTTCTGCATCTGCGTACAAGTGATAACTAAAAAACTATTTATTTTAAATAATTAACGATTGCTTCAATATAAACTAGACAAAATTTAGTTGAAGTAAAAATAGAGTTTTGTTTAAGCCATTTAAAGAGGAGTTTTCAACGGCTAAACTCAGCTAAGGGGTGAGAAGAGATGGCCAGTGGTGGAGGGCGAGTTGTGGTTGTGCCCTCTCTGAGAAAATTCCTGGATCAGCCACTGTCTTATACTCACCTATTTAATTCATAGTCTGAGTAAAACGGAAAAAACTCGTTCCATGCTTGGTGAACATGATCCTGCAATTAACTGATGGACGAATACCATAATTGACCTTCGTTGGAGTTGCCACCTAACAAGAAGACATACTTCACACGTGTCGTCGGTGTGAGTTAGCATTCGAGATTGCATGAAAAAATCTCGTAACTGCTTGTTGCACATTCCTATTTGCATGGCCGTGTCAGTGTCTGTGTATAGAGGAGAATGCCAAGATTGCTGCAAAATCGTTTAGTTAAAGTTGTGGAATATCTTTTTTTTCAAAAAATTGACTTGAAGTTTTTTTCTTTAATATCAAGTACCTAATCCCTAAATGTACTATCTCGACAATATTCTCAGACCCATGTGCTGAATACTTTTATTAAATTAGATGAAAACCGTTCTATTAGGCTAATAGAACTATAACAGTTAATGAATTATATCAGAAAAGGAACTATAACAGTTAATGAATTATATCAGACAATTAACTATAACAGTTAATGAATTATATCAGACAAGGAACTATAATAGTTAATGAATTATATTAGACAAGGAACTATAATAGGTAATGAAATATAATAGGCAATGAAATATATTATACAAGGAAATATAATAGGCAATGAAATATAATAGGCTATGAATTGTATAAGATAACGTGAGGCTACCTGATGGGGACCGGGAGAGGCGCGGGGAAGCCCGGGGTCTGGATGATCCCGCTGGGCTGGGTGAGCACGCCGCCGCAGCAGTTCACCGCCGCCGGCCAGTAGAGGGCGCCCAGGGCGGCAGTCAGTGCCAGCATTATCTAAGCGCTGGTCATAACTTAAAGGAAAGAGCAAAACCTGAAGAAAGAAAAAGTAACAAAAATAAGTAAAGAACAAAAATTCATTTTTATTGTTAAAACATTAACAATCGTCGGAATTATTAATGACTTCTAACGATATTCCATTCATAAAACGAAATTTCACAATTGAAGAACGTCTGTCTGGGATGTCACAAGGCATTGGAAAAGGAGATATCTGAATCATGATATGGATGAGGCATGGTAGCTGTTTGATGGCAAGGAATTCCTGAAGGAAACAAAGCGGGCCAGTAAGGAACGTTTTAGTTCATTGGGCCGCGGTGCCCAGAACGGGGTTTCATGGCGCAAGTTGCGCTATCAAAATTTTCGATGGAAGCAGATTTCCACGGGGTTATGAATTTTCAGACTAAGGGACATGAAGGAGGGGAGGAGAAGGCCTTCAGTCCGAAAATCCGCTCCCCTCACCTCTTCCCCCCCCTCAGTAGATCCGCTTGTGCTAACAAAGGAAAGGTGGTAATGAATCTAAGTAGGTAGTTGGAACCAATAACAATAGCCTGAATTTTTGTCGCGTTTAGCCAAAATTTATTCGAGCTTGTTCAGTCACTGATCTCATACAGGTCTTTCTGAATATTATCAAACGCAGTAATAAATAAGTTTGATCATCGAATTAAGAATATCATTGATATCCTGACTTCCAATCTCCTCAGTATCCTTAACCACCCTTGCCCCCGTAAAAACCTCTACCTTTCGTCACCGGCCTGCATCTTGGATGTGTCAAGAAATTAAAGATACAAAGGAGAGGCGAGATGCTTTAGATAAAGACTTTCAAACGTTTAGGTTGCTCTGCAACATTATACTAAAAAGGATTCGGTGAGCTAAAGCTACCTACTTCCACGAAGCCTTCTCATCAGCTCCAGTTTCTAAATCTAATTGGTAAGCTCATGAGTGCGGCAAACTATCCTCATTTCAGAGATTTCATTTCAAAATGAAAATCCATTATAGGCCAACTCATTTCTCCTTGGAAGAAGAGGTGCACCGCCTGGAATGCCGCCGGACGAAGTAGCAGAAGAAGACCGTGCCCGAATCTAGCAGAAGAAGTGTAATCGAAATATGGACCCAGTTTATAAATATTGCTTTTCTAGCAGCAGTGTGTTGCTACGCAGAAACGCTTAACATCTCACTGCTGTTAAATCCCGTATTGCCTATCAGGCACGGCAGGGATGTAAATAAATAAATCTAATTGGTTAATCCTTCACAAACTTTCCCTCTGTGAACCAGATTCTTTTCATCACAAGTCTTTTCCGTTTCCCATGACAATTTAAATTCACATTTTATATCTGCTTCTTTTTTTTGCGGGGGGAGGGAGAGGGGTCTGCCCCTTCCTCGCCTTTAACGAAAAGCCTTAAAAGCGAGGAAGAGCGGGTTTTCTCGGGCCAGGGAGTGTGTTCAGTGATTTAATTTAAACGACTCCCCGGACACCGAGACGCGAACTCGTGTCTATATTTTATCATTGTATCTCACATCAGGTTGTCGGGCAACGGCGGTGCTGTGCACAGACGTTAGCCTGTTCGGCCAACCCGCCCACTATATCAGCTTCTTTCACCTTTTCTCTCCTCTTAATAACCTTGACCGTTTTCAGTTAAATATGAGGAGTCGATTTACAGTCGATATTTAGGCTGCACCATCATGAAACTAATAGTTAATAGATAACTTCAGATTAGTTATTATCCAAATAATAAAATAAATAATCATTGCTTACGATTAATTGTTTATGCGGTGATTAAAATCTGTTATTTAGTATTAAAAACGTTAAACTTTGTATAGTCAGTCTTATTGTAGAAAATAAATAATGAATCTTTAACATTTGATATCTGTTTAATAAATAAGTTTGAGATATATGTTAATATGAGTTTTTCTGTTTATTTTGTGTTAGTGAACACATACCTAAAATAGTGCCGTGCAATTACGACACTCTCTGTATATATATATATATATATATATATGAAGTATTTTTACCAAATGTTAGTATTTGTCGGGTTTAAGCATTAAATGTTTAATAAAATTTACCAGTATTCTGAGTAATTAAAAAAAAATTAAAGTTTGCCCCACTCGAATTGTAAATCCGATACTTGGACAGTACATTCTTTTTATAAGTTACCATTTTTAATAAATATAATGAGTGCAGGAGATTATCCACAGTATGTTTATTATTAGGACGAGTTAAGATAATGTGGAGGACATGGGGCCCATACTGAGCTTTAGTTTTTTCCTTATTTAGTTTTTCTCTGGTTCTCGGGGTTGATTACAAAAACAAACCACGGTAAAGACAGTTGTTCCTGTCACTAACAAACATATTTTTTCTAACTTGAGAGCTTATATCTTGCCGAGAATCCCCTCCCCCACTCCCACGTCGGTTTCTATTATTGCTACAGACCTCCCAAAGCCGAGGGGAATATAGCTTTCACAGATTGATCATCTTAGCTTTAACATTTACGATTTTTAGGCGAAAGAACAATATATTTTAATCCTGTTGGAGAACATTTTGAAAACTTGAGGCAGCTTCTTATTTCATTTCTGTTAGTCAAAAAAGAATCAACCATCGACTGTCATTCAAGATTTAAAAAAGAGATTAACGGCAAGCTTGTCCCATTAATAAATGTTCGTAACAAATAATTATCAACGTTTTTTTAAATGATCAATTGATCAATAGTAATGTGGTATCTCTCTCTTTTTGAAATCTTTATTTATATTTATATATTGCTTCCTCACTACCGAAGGCAGGGAAGCATTGTATTCATGCGAGGTTAAAAAAAACATTCTGCTCAGAATCGAAAATTCCCACTCGCGTTTTACGTTTCAGACATCAAGGATCAAATTTGGTTCGGCCCGTCTGTCTGTAGTCAAATTGATGTGACGGGCATATCACCTACTACCTTTCATCCGATTTTCATGTAATTTTTAAGGATTGTGCGGATTTGTGTCTAGATGGTTCCGTACCATATTAATTTTATTAAATTCCATACACCACTTCCGCTTGTGGGCGCGTAAATGTATTTTCATAAATATGCCAATATTTCTGAAACGGCTAATTAGATTTAGTTCAAGGTTGAAGGGAAGGTGGGATTGGTAAAACAATGCTTCTATGTCGATTTTATTGAATTTCGTTATCTACTTTCTAATATATAAGCGTAAACGCGTTTTCCTTGATACGTCTATATCTCTAAAACCTTTAGTTCGATTTAATCCAAATTTGGAGGGAAGTTAGGGATAGTTGATTATCTGTTAACTAATCCCTTAAACTTAAGTAAATATCAATTTTAATAAATTATGTCCTCTACTCTAAAACAAAGACTTCTGCTTTTGGACTAGTAAACGTATTATTTGGCACACCTATAGTTTGAATAGGGTCTGTTCAATTTTACCCAAACTTGGAAAAAATGAAGAGAATAGTTCAGAAACTGTCTAGTGTCAATTTCATTTAATTCCATTAAATAATCAAAATTAATATAAATAACTGCTAACAATATAATGACTGTGAAATGTGGAAGGCACTGATCATATGAAGTGAGAGTTAGGTTAAGACAATATTTTCATGGGGTTATAAAATTTTAGGTTTTATTTAAAAAGTTAATTTATACTATCTTGTTAAGTCGATTCTGAACGTTACTGGCATGACACTTACTGCCGTTACTTAGATTTCGAGTAATTATCAGTAAATGTAAAGTAATTTTTACTCTTAGGTTGGTCGCGACTTCCTGCTCAAACGTTAAAGTTGTGTGAACTTGAAGCATATTTTTATTATAATGTGATTCGAGTATTCGCTGATGAATGAAACTCATGGATATCAGACCTGAATGTGTTAATGGATTACTGAATTTCCGAAAACGGATTCTTCCGGAGATTTTATTCTCATACGAAAAATTTTAGACCTTGTAATTCAGATATTTTTTGACAATGAAAACGGTGAGGAAGCTATACTGACCTCACTTGGCAGATGTTTTGATATTACGTCACAAAACTAGGATATCATTCAATATCAATTTTAGAAACGAACGCAACAGTTTCTTTGCAATTTCTAATGGCACTGATATGATTTTTAAATAAATAAATAATGACAATTAAATTAATCGTTTCTTAATGTACGGACTCATCATATCCTGTATAATTCTTAATTATAAAATAGAAGATGAAATTATATTATTTTCGTATAATCGTACTATGTTAAACTTCAGATTCCAACTTTTTTTTTCATCCCATTTCTCGCCTTTTAGGATATACGGGAGTTTTCCAGGGCCAGGAGGTGAGGGCGGGGGATCAATGGGAGAGTTAGAAGCACTCCCCGGCACCTGAACGCAAACTCATACTTATTTGTATCGTCTAAACTTCGGTTATCGGGTAGTCGGGTAACGCGTGGTGCTGTGCACATGCGTTAGCCCGCTTATTCTCATAATAGTGCCGCTGTACCTCATAATAGTGCCGCTGTACCTCATAATAGTGCCGCTCTACCTCATAATAGTGTTTTATTTTCCAACTTGTTCTGTAATTTGAGGTGGAAGTTCTCCTATGTCAAATAAAACATTACAAGTTAATTAAATTAAAAAAACAAAACAACTAAGGTGTGTGCTATAGACCACGCGATAGAAGTGAAAACATCAAGAGGACAAGATTAAGAATATGAAATATAATCTTCCATAAAACACTTGGCATCTCTAACACGGCGTCGCGTTAAGACACAATTTTGAAGATCTCATGCAATCTCATTGCAAAGAGGGCGAAATATCCAACAGTTCCCGCACAAACAATATTCAGGTCCGATTTTTAGTTATTGAGATGTTTTAATCCAAATATAAAAATTAGCCGAGTCCAGCCGACTTTACCCGAGCGTTAACACTTCGGAAATCAGGCGGATCAATCTATGTCACTCTCCACAAATAAGTGCAAAACGCGTCTACAGAAGTTTTCACCTGAATAAAAAAAAATCTGGTGCGCGCAACACACAACTTTCACTTGCCGCTCAACTTTGAATAGAACTTATTTTCT